ATTCTTTGATATAATTGCCAAATACATCCCCTGAGGTGTTTGGCTGTCTGCCTTGCTTCTAGAAGTACTTTGCTTTAGAAAACAAAACACTGAAACTAATTTATTAGTGATGTTTGTGAGTGAGCTGTCTCACACAATTACAGTAGAGTAGTTGTAGCGCATTAAGTCAGAACAAGATACTTTATTAATCCATAGGGAAATTATGTGTAAGCAATTTTGTAACTGTTGGTATTTAAGTAGCTACAAATTGTGTGAGGGACTGATGTGTAGTCAGTTGTTCACATCCTCAGTAGTAGTTTAGCTGTTGCTCGTAGACATTTCCATCTGTGGGGGAAGTGAAACGGGCAGTCTGGGAAACAATAGCCGATGTGATGTGTGTCACCAACAAACGATGAGCATTGTCTGAATTCTGGCCATTTCCACTCTAATCCTTTCTTTCTCTCTCTTTCTTGCTTTGTCTCTGTGATCTGCTGGTGCCTTCTCCACCACCACCTTTTTCTTCCTCCCACACATCTGGATCGCTCCCTGGCCTTGTTGACCCACAGCACGATGAATACCACATGATGCATCTCGTATGTACCTCTCACAGTCCCCCCGGCTCACCTATGCCTCGGAGTCCCTCCAGCACGACTGCTTCTGATTCCAGCGTGAGTAGATCAACACTTACTAACACAATTTATTCGTGCTTTTAATGTATTTTTACAGTTTTAAAAGCTCTGGTAAGCAAATGTTTTTAAAAACATTTTATTAAACTGACCTGTCATAATTAAAACAGTTAGAGACTTATTCTGATTAAGTTGCAATCAACTTTAACTGGATGTGTTTCTGTGATTTCCTGTAAAAAACTATGAAAGCTGTTTGATTAGGCTGCAGCCTCCATGCTCCTCTCATCTTCTCTCAGGGCAAACTTGATCTTTTCTGTGTGTGCTTGATTTAATTATTGGTTTGTTATTGGTGTTCACACAGAGTTCAGAGAGTGCTGGCTCCATATCTCCTACCACCACACCAAATCAGGAAAGTCAGTCAGCCTCTTCATCCTCCTCCTCTTCTGATCCAGCGAGTTTTGATGGGCTGAGGTACCGCGGCGGCTTCGCCCAGTATCCTCAGAGCACCACTGGTATCCCTCAGTGGTAAGCAAACAACACCAAGACACGAGACTGGGCTTTTTTTTAGCTCTAAATGAGCATTTGTGGGTTTTTATGGTATCACTATACAGGAGAGGGGCAATTTTACAAGCACTTTTTAAGTGCCGTGTATCAGGGTAGCACAAAGCATTCACAAGGTACTGCTGTCTGAACACACACAGAAAAATCAGCTTTGCCTAAATTTTACCACATGCACTTCACATTACCGTAACTCCTCAACAATTTTGGGCTAGAGAGAAAATTCAGATGGTTCCTGAAAGACGATAATTATTTTTTGATTTTTTGAATTGTTTTTTTGTTTGTTTAATAAACAATAAAAAGACAAGTTGACAGGTTTACAGAGCAAAGAGCTATAATGTCTGCTATCTGTTATTATATATTAATGGGAAAAAGTTCTGACAGTCACATCTGAGCATTTACCCCCAAACTAATCTGTCTCTTTAAATTATAGAAAATATAAATTTGTGCTAAAATATAAAATAAAATAATATGATTTAAATCAAAGGAATCACCACTGTATAAATAGGTCTTGAAATAGATTGCCAGCCAGGTGCTAATGACATAAGTACTCACTAGTGTCATCTCACTAGTGAGATATTCTGTTTGACATCAGGTTGAAAGCAGGTCTGTGGTTCTGAGAAGCTAATGGGACGACCCTGAAGATGGAACATCAGTTTATGGATGTGTATCAGTTGTGCAGCTTTGTGTTAAAGCCTTTAATAACAAATATGACGCCTTCCTCCCTCCACAGGCCTGCTGCTGCTCAGGTTCCCTTTCATGGGGGCCTACCTGCCAACATGCCCCCCCACCCCATGTACATGCCAATGCAGATGCTGTGGTGGCAACAGATGTACGCTCGTCACTACTACATGCAATAGTAAGTGCAAAAACTGTCCTGCTATCATCATGCCAGTGACAGTTTGCCCAGTGACATATTTGTTAGACTACATTTATTTACTATGATTACTTCGCGTGCTGATTTGTTTGTTTGTCTATTTTGTTTCCATTCTCTCTCCCTATTCTCCTTCTTTTTATCTCCATTTTCTTTCTCAGTCAAGCAGCAGTAGCTGCCTCGCAGCCTCCCAGCACCTCCCCTCCCTCCTCCCCCACCCCCTCACCCCATCAGCCTGCCCAACCCAATGCTGTGCAGCCACCACTGGGACCTAACGCGGCCCCCAACGCCTTGCCAGAGAACCAGCCGCCCAACCCCATCCAGATGAACGCTCAGGGCGGAGCCGTCCTAAATGACGACGAGATGAACCGCGATTGGCTGGACTGGCTTTACACATTGTCTCGCGTGGGCGTCCTGCTCAGCATCGTCTACTTCTACTCTTCTTTTAGCCGCTTCGCCATGGTGGTCGGAGCCATGTTGCTCGTCTACTTGTGAGTTAATTCTGCAGAAGTTGTAAAAACAAAAAACGTATAATTTGTACTTTTAATTTTGACATTTTCACATCTGTGTTCATGACAGTGTACTGAATGTGTTTTTACTGCAACTTTATTTTCACCAATCATTTCAGTCATTTTAGATATATCTGTTAAAAACAACTTTAAAGTCAAGTGTGTGTCTATGTTTCAGGCACCAGGCTGGCTGGTTTCCCTTCAGGCCAGAGCAGCAAAACCTCAGAGGAGGAGGAAGAGTTCCACAGGAGGAAGCAGAGAGACACCAGGACATGCAGGAAATGGTGAGCTGGGCACTGTCTGTCACTGTTTTTCTGCCTTACTTTTCTAGCTTGTTGTTTTCAAAGACAAATATCAATTAAAATTTCTCAGACTGACGGACGACCTGATGAAGTTTGGCTGCATCACACCAAATACACTCTGGACTGTTTCCCATCTTTGGAAGTCAATGATGATGTGCCAAAAATCAGCACTTGCCCCACTTGAAATATGTGCAGAGACTGCAGAATACTTTGCACTGTACTTTGAGTTTCTTGTCTTGGCCTGCTGATATCTGTGCATTTCTTTGCTACCTTGATGTCTGAAGTGGATACATACAATGTGAAAATCATAATTTTTGGTATTCAATTATAGAATAGATTATAGCTTTTACAGCTGATCAACAGCAGTCCTAGGATGATCCTTTACCTGTAAACAGAAAAATCCTTTGTTAAAAAAAGAATTTCAGATTGCTGATAATGTGACAACTCAAAACAAGACTGTAGATGTCACTAGATATTATAAATATCTTGAAGTTTGGCCAAATGAATGTCTTTTGTTTAAGCATGTAGCAGTTTAATCTCTAATATAAAACTGAGAGTTCAAGAGAGTTGTTTATTCTAACAAGTCCTATTTTTTTTTGTTGGAAAAAATAAAGACAGTTGTTTTTAATAGGCAACTTCTCATTCACTCATATCTTTTCAAATAATTTCAGGTCTTTTCTGAGTCTTAACATGAGAGTACAGCAGAGAGATGTGCTGATAAAAACAGAAATGAAAGCAGGAAGGTTTCTGCTGTAGGGTTGTTTGCAAAGGGAAAATGGTTTAAGGAACTTGGCATTTCAGAGTGCTTTTATTCTCTGTTTCTTAACACTGACTTCATCTCTAAGCTTCACTCGTTTGCGTTTGGTTTTTAGTGTTTCATTTGTGTACATGATGATGTGTCAAGTAAACATAAACTTGCAGCGCATTATGCAACATAATATCCTGCCAACTCACAGGAAGCGCTTTCAAAATATAAATGCTCTTATTGTCATTTTAAGGTGGAGTTTAAAGCAATCAGTCCAGAATATGTCTGAAAGAGAACGTCTTTAATCTTTTTTGTCTCTGTTTGTTTGTGGCAAAGGAACGACTGATGGACGAAGGAATGGAGGACGATGACAGTGGCGAGGATGGAGGTGGAAGAGCGGAGGATCAGGGCCGGGCGGCGGCTGCTGCTGCCGAGCCGAGTTTCATTACAGTCGCGTGGTCCTTCATCAGCACCTTCTTCACCTCACTGATCCCCGAGGGACGACCCCACCCAGACAACTAGGTAGACCCCCTTGCTTCTAAAAATACTTCCTCTTCCTGCTACAGGACCCCCACCCCCACCAAACCTTTACTGGCCATAAATAACCCAAACGCATCTTCACACAATCCCATGTGGTCAAATACTCCTTGACCGAAGTGCCCGCCTAGCCTCCTGTCCTCAACCAATGAATGAAGTGTAAGAGCAGTTGCAGTGTGTTGCTGCAGTAATGGAACCTTTGGTAAAGTCATGTCTGTGCTGTGTTAATGGAGTAAAAGCTTCAGCAGTGAAAGTTTTTGTTTTTGTTTCATCGCTTGTGAATTCATTAAGAGTTGGCGATGACGAGAGACGCTAAAGGGAGTTGTCTTCCATTTTGAGCTGTGATATGGTTATGCTTGTGAATATTTTATTTCATTATTTTTTTAAATAATGGATGTGACCCAGAAATAAAAAGAAAAACAAAGTAAGGAATTTCTCTAAAATAATAGGGAAACGTTTCCTTAACAAACCATGGAAAACACATCCTCAAAGACATTTTCATGTATGCACACAGTGTGCATATAGACATTGCAGCTACTGAAGCACATTGTTTTCCCACTTTGTGTATTTTAAATATCTATTTACACATGTAAGTATATGCATCTTTAATTCCTGAATATATGCTTTTTTTTGAATAAAAAATCTTGCTGCAGTTTAATTTGCCTGCTGTGGTGTACTTTCTCTAGTGCGCAGTTGATGTAGTTCCACTGATGTCCAGCAGGGGGCGGCATTCACACGCAGATATTGTATCCTCCTCTTCTCGTTTCCCAGATTATACTTTTGCAGTTCCTTTCTTCCTTTCCTTCTTTCCTCACTCTTATTCCATCCATCAGAGATATGGGAGCAGCAGGAGTTGAGGAAAAGACATAAGGAGGCAACAAAATAAGACGCCCTTGTGCTTTGAGGCCGTCATTTTAAAGTGATTTCAGTAAAATATAAGTATACCAATGTATCATATGACCTCAGATGTCAGATGTGCTTATGTATTTAAATCTATTTTTAATTAAATTTACAGTGTAGCATAATATGAAAGATTATACAGATAAAAAAGTTGAAGGGTAGAGAGTTTGACTGAACATTTCAATCATAAATGACAAAAAAAATAAGAATATAAAGGTTCTGTCTCTGAAAGCCTTTTCTGGCCAGGTTTTGTGCTGGCCTTTACAGCTGTGCATCTCATCTCTTTTCCACACTTCCACAGAGGATGCATCCTTGATTGTAGCTCTTCTCATCACTTTGTTCTCCAGATGCATTTTAAGATTTGAGATGTCCTTCAAAGATGGCGTCCTAAGCTCGATGTCTGCAGGAAGTCAGTTCTGATTTTTCTTCTGTTTGCTTATGTATTATGTCCCATCTTACACAAATTTTGTTCCCGCACTTAATCAGTGTGTGATTTCTGTTTCTGAACTGTTGTGCAAAATTCTTCACAGCAAAAAGCAAAAGGGGGTCAGATTAAAACACGAGGTAAAGACAGTACAAGACAGAGAGGAAAATTAAGATGCCTGGCCATTACAAACCTCTCCAACTTAAAAGGTCAGTAGATATCTCAAAGCTTCCACTGATTGTGCTGAAAATGAAATATATTGGGCTCCCTATCTCTGCTTGAAGTGGGAAATGTAAACAAGTACAAACACTTGAATCTTTTTCACGCATATTTTGCTGCCTGAACTTTCCTAAATGTTATCCCAACAGGAGTGCATGTGAGAATGAAAATATTAGCGGGTCTTTAACCTTTCTAATGCAAAGCCTGTGTGATGATGGATGTGACAGTAGATCAGCTGATATACTGTTGCATTCACAGTCTGGGTCCACGGAGGTAGTCTCTGCCTTTTGAGAACGCTCTCTTTTCATACAGATGCTGATGGTCGTTAATGGCGGCACCAATAATCTCACAGTTTGGCAGTCCAATCCTGATTCAGCAAGTTAATCATAATGATACATTTACAGAGTACATTTGTCCTGTTAACAGTGCTTCCTGTTTGCTTCCAGTGAACCTGAATGCTCCATCTGGTCACATTTTACTGCATGCTTTTTTCTGACCCAGAACCATAACTGTACAGAAACAAGCAATAAATAAAATAAAACCCCTACAGTAGGCAAAGGCAGCTTCAGAAGACTATATACTAAAAGTAAAAATAAAATGAAAGATTTGAATACAGGGTTAGCTTGCTTCTGACTGCTTGCGCTACAAACTGAGCCTTCAGCACAGAGCGTGGCTTTTTCCCCAACTTTACCTGCTGAGACCTGCAGGCTTTCTGCATCTACAAATTTTAATGACTATCAGCAAATGTTTCGATTGCCGAGCTGTGTAAAAAGCTGGTCCTTACAACAAACAGCCTAACAATGAATTAGGGGCTTGAAAGTTTAAAATTTACCTGGCTGAACATGTGCAGGCTGACACAATCCTCACTGATAGAGAGGTGAGCTGGGAAGCAGCTCAGACAGCGATGCACTTCAGAGAGTCCTCCAAAACCCCCTAATCGAATGACCATGGATTTTTGTGTAGTTGGGAGTGGAAGGTCCAATTAATTATGCATGACAGCGGCTTGACGGCCATTTGATTTTGTAACGTGCGCCCCCTCTGAGCCGCCGATCCAATCAGGTTAGGACGCACCACCACACACACACTTTCTCCTCTACCTCCACACAGCTCCGGGGTGAGGCTGAGACTCCCCTTATCAGCGGGAGAGATTTCTTTAAGAGGGTGTTTGGGGCCTTGTAGGACATTTCATCATCATAATAAGTCCTTGTTATGCAGCCGGCTCACTCCTGTTTCCCTGCTATCAGGCCTCGTTGTCTTCGGAGAGGCAGCAGTTGGGCTGGACACCTGCCACAGCGGGGGGAGAAGAGATAGACTGAGTTCATTAGGTGAACAGGGAGGAGATGGAGAGGAGAGATGGAGTGTGACACCTGTGAGGATGATATGGGGATGCAGTGCTTTCAGTAAAAGTGCCTTGACTGAGCACATGCTGTAAACGTGGTACAGTGTGTTTAGGCCAGGTGTTACTTTGGATGTATCCATATATGTCTCTGTGAAGGTTCTCAGTCATCCAGGTCATCGTAGTCAAAGGAGCTTGCAAAGAAAAGCGTCTGGACTTGTGAATTCTGTGAATTCTCTGTAAATTTATCCTCAAGTTAAGTCACATGTTTTTGTAGGCTGTTGCAAACACATCCAAAAACCAACAAAGCTTGACTCAAAATGCTTTCCAGTTATGGAAGGTGGATTAACAATATATAATAAAACAAAACTGATCTAGTTTTGTCATATTTATAGTTTTAACTTCATATAGTGTTTCTGTCAGTTTCACAGCAAACAGCCCAACAACAGTAAGATTTTTTGGCTTTACTTCATAAACTAAATATCTTAAGCTAGTTTTTAAGAGGAACTGTGGGTGCATTTTACAGTATTTTATCACATCGGAAATAGTCTGAGTCTCAATTTCTCTTATTCAATTTGGATAGTAAGGTCAGAATTTGACATAAACAACATGGAAGCATGGATCCAACCTACCTTATGATGGTGTCATGGTGTGTGGGGTATTTTGGGTTTCTCAGAACCAATGAGCACGATTTACACCACAGCATCTGAGTGTTGTTGCTGATGACGTTCATCCTTTTATGGCAGTGTTCCTCTAGACCTCTGGTGGATGCTTCTAACAGGATAATGTCACAAGGCTCAGATCATCATGAACATGACAGTAAGGTCACTCTACTCAAATGGCCTCCATAGTCTCCAGATCTCAGTCCAATAGAGCACCTTTGAGATGTGGTGGAAAGGGAGATTCACATCATGGAAGTGTAGTAACTGTTTGATGTTATCATGTCAATATCTATCAAAAGAATCTCTCATGAATTTTTTAAGCAGCATGTTGAATCTTGCCACAAAGACATTAAGGCAACTCTAAAGGAAAAAGGAGTTCCAACCCTGTAACAGCAATCGTACCTAATAAAGCATCTGGTGAGTATATATTACATTTGAAACTTCAGACTTTAGCCTCAGGCAGTTGCCAGAGGTAACTTTATATTTAGAGCCAATCAATATTACACCAATACTTATGCCATAACAGTCATCGTTATACAAAATAAATATATAAATAAAAAATTATACAGTCATTATTTATGAACGTTTATGGTCAGACGCTTCTTGATGCCGCCCTGCCTTTAGCTAATGTTGCCTGCTGTGCTTGTAAGACCACTAAAATAGTTTTTTTTTCTACATTTCATGTAAAGCATATCTGTCGATACTAATATACAGTATATGTGTGGTAGGCTAGCATATATGGGTTTCATTGTAATTATATTACATGTTAAGTGGATTTCTTTGGGTGTGTCCATTAATGCAAGTAAAACTTCTGTTTGTGTCTTTTGGCCAGTGTAATTGTGCTGCTGTCGACTGTCAGAAGCACTGTGCATACAGGATATGTTGTGATTTACGTGATTATCTTGTGATTCAATTGGTTCCCAACATAAGTGCATCTACATCAGGAAAAAATCCCTTTGTTTTTGCATATGCTTAGAGCTCAAATTTGATATTTACTCTGAGTTTCACTGTACTGATCAAGGAGTGTCCCATACTGAGTATAATTCAATTTTCCTTTAATTTAACCAAATAGAAGTCTGCCTGAGATTAAAACCTTTTTCAAGACAGACCCAACCAAGAGCACAGGACAAAGTCATTATTACAATTCGGCAACTTTACAATAGATTGACCATATATGACAGAAACTTTTTAAAATATTTTTCTGTTGCAGGGGTTGATGTTCAAAGAAAACATGATTATGTTAAGTAATGAGTTTAGTGGAGTAATAAGTAAAGTTTTTTCTACTATTGGTTTTGTAAAGGAGACCAGGGATCTCTTATATGGTCATCTTGGGTACACAGATCTGAATGTGAGAACAGAAGCCCCGCCCACCTGCTGTTCAGAACTTCTGTTCAGGAGGCGCAGGCAATGGGAAGTTCCCCAAGGAATAGGGAAGCGAGATGACTTATTAGCTTAATATCTATCCCTTTTTTTGAGACTTTGAGATATTTTGTCTCCCATTTTGTCTTTACTTCTGCCTGATTTTACATTCCTTTACATTTAATGCTGAATTCCACATATCTGTTTTTTTAACCGAGTTTTGGGGTGATGGAGCCTATCCCAGATCACACAGGGCTAAAGTCAGGGTACACCCTGGAGATGTACACAGGCAACCACATCCTCTCACATTCACACCTACAGTCAGCAGTCAGTTTAGAGCCATCAGTCTCTTCTCATGGATTTATTTGCACAAGGTTAACATTCTTTGTGAAAATGTGAGATAGAGGTGGATGGATTGAGCCAGATATCGACAGTATCGATACCAATGCTGATTTTGATATTGGACGGTACTAGCATAATATACGGTGGCCCTGAGAGACCAAACGGACTGCAACGGAAATAGGAAAAAACGACAAAAGAAATAGGAAAAAAGAAAACAGAAATAGGAAAAAAACACAAGGGAAGTGTTTCTGGGGAGACAATAACCCGACGGACCAGTTGCAGGAACTGAAAAAATGGTAGGTGTGTTTTATCATGATTCATATAATACTGATGACAGAGTTTTAGACTAATAGTTAGGCTAACACACTTACCTCTCATCCTCCACTTCTGTTAAGTGTCTCCCTGCGCAATTCTTA